TAATAAAAGGCTTGGTGCCTGTAGCTCAGCAGCTAGAGCCAGCCACATATACCGGAGCTGGCAGGTTCAAACCCAGCCCAGGCCTGCCAGTGACAACTACAACACACAAAAAATAGCTAGGCTTTGTGACGGGCGCCTGTAGTCTCAGCTACTCAGGAGGCTGAAGCAAGAGAATCACTTCAGCCCAAGAGTTTGAGGTTGCTGTGAGCTGTGACACCACAGCACTCTACTGAGATTGACATAGTGAGACTCTGTCTCAAAAAAAAACTAATTAAAAAATAAAAGGTAAAATTCTCAATGTTCAGATTCTTTCGGCCCTGTTGCAACTAAATCAAAGTGTCTAGCATCAATATATACATATATATATATTTTTGAAGACCGATTCTTACTTTGTTACCCTCAGTAGAGAGTGCCCATGCATCACAGCTCACAGCAATCTCAATCTCTTGGGCTCAAGTGATTCTCTTGCCTCAGCCTCCCTGTAGCTGGGACTACAGGCGCCAAATTAACCTTTTTTTTTTTTAGGGAGAGAGTCTCATTTTGTCACCCTTGGTATAGTGTCATGGCGTCATAGTTTATAGCAACTTCCAGCTCTTGTACTTAGGCGATTCTCTTGCCTTAGCCTCCTGAGTAGCTGGGATTACAGGCACCTGCCACAAAGCCCAGCTTTTTTTTTTTGCAGTTTTTGGCCAGGGCTGTGTTTGTACCCACCACCTCCAGTATATGGGGCTGGCACCCTACTCCTTTGAGCCACAAGTGCCACCCATGCCCAGTGATTTTTCTGGCTGCAGTTGGGCTGGGGTCAGGTTGGAACCCGCCACCCTAGGTGTATTGGGCCCTAATCATTGAGCTACAGGCACCACCCGGCATCAATACTTTTTAAAGATCCTTAAATGAGGCGGGGCACGGTGGCTCATGCCTATAATCCTAGCACTCTGGGAGGCTGAGGCAAAAAAAAAAAAAAAAAAAGGAAGATCCTTAGATGACTCCACTGTGTAGCAAAATCTGGGGAACTACTGGTTTAAATACTTACAGGCCAGGTGCAGTGGCTCACACCTATAATCCTAGCACTCTGGGAGGGTGGAATGCTGGAGGTCAGGAGTTCAAGACGAGCCTGAGCAAGAGCAAGACTCTGTCTCTAAAACCTAGCTGGGTGTTGTGGCAGGTACCTATCGTCCCAGCTACTCAGGAGGCTGGGATAAGAAGATGACTTGAGCATGGGAGTTAGAAGTTGCTGTAAGCTATGATGCCACAGCCTTCTACCAAGGGCAACAGAGTGAGATTCTATCTCAAAAAAACTTAAGTACAGTTGAGACCAAGACTACTATTTCTTTTTTTTTTTTTTTTTTTTGAGACAGAGCCTCAAGCTGTCCCCCTGG